ACAGAAACGAGTTCAGAAGGATGTTGTTCGTGAAAATTAAGCAAGTCTACTCGGATTTTTGTAAGGTCAACTCGTTTAATAAATGAATTACACAGCGAGTTGAAGTTTGTTTTTTTTAATAAACAAATTAGTCGAGTTCTAGCTTATTGGTTCTTTATGGCTTTGCACGTAAAGATAAATCTCTTAAAGGTGAGTCCTTTTAATTTATACAGTCACTTTTCTGATTTTGTAACAATAAATATTGTCTTGTGAACTATATATTTTAATTAAGTGAACGTTTTCCTTCTGCTACAAAATATGATATTTTTCTTTATCCTAAAGGCTAAAGCTAATGTTTAAGATGCTGTTGAAGGAGAAACCCTAATAGTGAAAAGTATATGATTATGCTCCAACCGTCCCATACAATGTTTGAACATTTTTATTTTTAAAGTCAAACACATGAACTTTTTTTTTCTTAAACTCTATGTTCAATCAAATATATTACATAAATTGAAATGAATTATAGCCATATATGTCATGAGGGGTTAGCTTATGTTTTTCTTTTCATAAAAAAAGAAAATAGTTTGACCATCAGAAGCTTATTCAGTGGCAATAGTTTGACCAACTGTAGGTCCAATCTTAGCTTTATCTCTTCGTTCATTGTCTTAGATTTCTTTTCACTCTCTTGTCCTTCCTCTCGGCCTGCTACTGCCTACTGCTATTATATGCACTTAGAAAGATTGAATATCTATAAATAAAAAAAAATTTAACTTCCTAGTCTATTCTGGATCAACCTTTGCATTCTTACTACTCGAACGATACATAATATATTAACTTTAATAAATGAGCTAGCTAATTAAACAAAATTTGAAAGCATGTATCTGTTGTCCAAGCTAGCAACTCCAAATTCCAATTTTATCTTTCTTTCCGGGTCGACCGAATTGTAATTCAGTAGTAACCTTACACATGTTTTTCTTAAGTAAGAGTGCTATTCTACATTAAATTAATTTGCAGTAACACTTGCAAGTCAATAATGGATATAAAGTATACAAGGCTTAGAGCACAAAATAAAATCATTTTATGGTCTTTTCAAACCCTACGTACGAAGGAGTAGAGAATGTGGAAGGGGAAGGGGAAGGGGAAGGTCAACAGAGTGTTGAGTGGAAGGCCGAGAGAGAAGGCAAAAGTAAAGGGATATACGTGAGTGTGGATGGTTATTAAGATAGATATAGTTTTCCTTTCTAGGCGTAGCTTCGCCTTTATACTGCACCAAAATCGCACTTTTTTAAATAAAAAAAATAGGGGTATGGTAGAGGGAGAGATGGGGGAGAAACATAACGTAACGTCGTATAGGGAATCGAATCCTCACCAAGATGCTAAAGTTTAGGCAGCCAACCAACTTATAAGCTATTAAGATTTTCCGACAAATCTGTACTCATTATTTGCACAAACTTAATGGATATATGACACATGTTTATAAATAAAATGTTAATCAAATCATAGTTATTATAGTACGTATTGTCACCCCAATCAAATTTATCACAAATTTGTGATGGTTTTATCATTTATGAAAGAATTCATCAATGCAGATGAAACTTATGAAGAATTTCTTATAGTTTTATAACGATTTTCTTCTTCACTCACAATTTTTGTGACACTAAAATATGTAAATGTCTATTGATATGAAAAATATCAGTTGCGAATAATTTTTTTTAAAAGGAGGTATGTAAGAGAGTGATATCTTGATTAGGAAATTGCTATCCCTTAATGGAATCAAATTTGGCAGGATTAGAAAGGCTTATCGTCTTCATCCCTTTTCCATTGTCTAATACTCATTAGACAATCTTTTGACCTGCATGAAAATTCGGATGACCCTACCACACTCATTGCTTTCAAGAATTTTTGCATGGCTTTTCCCTTTCTAGCTTTGTTACACAACGAGAACCCATTTACATAGTAGCAAGTTGGAGTGTGTTGGAGTGTATGACTCTAACCGAAAAACCGTACCAACTCGAAAAGTCAAATCTGATTAAAAAATTCGATTAGATTTGGTATTGAGTAAAACAATTCGAACAAAACCGACATATAAATATATAATTTATATTTATATATATATATATATATATATATAATTTTTTTAATAGAATTTTCTTTAAAAAAATATCTAAAAATATTTGTGATTCTCTTATGGATGTAATATTTAGTTAAATATGAAGTGCTCCATTTTTATTAACTTTAAATAATGGGTTGTATGATCACTTTCTTATCAAGTATTACTGAAATGTGTCAATTTCTTTGTTCTTCCATATTCATATGTCAATATCTATTAAATTGTTATATCTTTTTAGAATTTGAAGTGAAATTTTGATAATTTAAAATTAAATAGAATATATCATTATTTAGTATCATGTGTTACTAAGAAAATTCTACCATAAGAATATTTTAATAGATCATATGTTTGTCAATTTTTTTTTAATTTTTACTAAACATATATTTGCTTAAAAGAAATTAACAAAATAAGATTGAAATAATATTCATGTAACAAAGAAACTCGAAAATCCCGATAAAATCGAACCAATCCAAACCGATATAGTTGGTTTGGTTTGATTTTGATAAAAACCGAACCAACCCGGTCCATGTACACCCCTAGTAGTAAGTAGAGTTCCAAGATAACATGGGGATTTTTTGCTGCTTAATCTATTTACTTTATTTTTTTAGATCATTAACTTAATTAATTAGATAGTTAGTAGATAAAGGAGAAGGAGAGTAAGACTTGGTCTATCCAACCTCGATTAGAACAGCTTGAATCAATAATAATGAAGGTTTACCAGTACAAATTTTATTCGATATTCTTAATCTGTGCGAAGATACTTGATTTGATATAATTTAATTTACAAACTTTACATATCAACCAACCACGTACCCACGGTATTCATTAAGTGAAACGAATACGCATTTGTTAGAGGAGAACAACGATCATATCATGGAGATGGAATATATTCAACTTTATTTCACGCCTAAACTAAAATAAAGTTTAGGTCATGTCACAATTTGTTTTCTTGGGGGGAGGCGGGAGGTGGGTGGGTTACTGCTAATTGTCTTTTTCTTTTTTGTTGCTAATTGTCTTTATAGATTGACCTCTGAATGATTTTACATAGCTAGAATAAAAGTTACTCCTACTATATTCACGCTTTCATGTTTAAAATAAGTAAGGTGATTGCACAATACATTTCTTTTTACGACGATTTTAAAACTAATTTGATTTAGGTAAGTGGTATTTTGTTATTAAAAGAAAAAGCAAGTGGTATATTGATGTTTGTTTGGAGTAAATCTAAAGGATAAAGGATCACTATGCATGGTAAAACTGCATCTGAGTGGATGTTATTTTCTTATCATTCTTTTCAAAGAAAGTTTTTTTTTTTTTAAAAAAACTTAGAGCCGAGGTTTCCCTAAGATTGCAATCTTATCATTTTTGGACAAAGAAAAATAAAACTTTTTCATTTGGTACAATATTCCTTATGGACCTATGCTTACCAAAAGCGAACAGAAAAAGAACAAATTAAAAGAAGAGTCTATTAGTCATCGACGTTATAATTGGTACACAAAAGTAAACTGTATTATAGTATTATGTACTGTAGTATTTCTGTTTCTTTTTTCGAAAAGCTACTACATAGTGAAATATTATTCTTTAATTTTTCTTACTAAAATATAACTAATAAAGATTTGATTAAGCGAAATGCGTGGCCAATCGGTGATTTTACAACGTTATGCACAATGGATTAGGTTTAAAAAAAAATATTTGCTTATTATGGTAATCTTGTTAATGACAAGTATTTGCAAGCAGAAAGAAAAAACAAAAGAATGATAATCACGATGACATAATTTTCTGTCATATTTTGACATTACACAATTACTTTTGTTAGTGGTGAAACAATTCATGGTTATAGCGTTAATTAAGAAATTAATTAACTTCCGATGAATAAATTAAAAGCGCTTAAAAATGGTTTAGTGCATGATAAGTGAATAACAATGATTATTTAAATATACTTAGTTCCAAAGTAATTGTTATTATCAAACTCCACCGAGAGCCTAACAAATTAGTTCAACTTTTCAATTTTCTTTATGATTTATGATTACACAGAGAGAAATAAATGACTATTTTCATACGTTACCAGGCGCTTCCAAATTTATCCTGCAGAACTATCCCATATTATATTGGATCTATATATCAATGTATGAGTACCAATTTCCCTTAAGATTGTTTAGCTCTTTATAAGAAAATGAACTGCATATAGATTTAAAGTTGTAGTAAAACATTAATTTCACATTGTTTTATGAGGCATAAGGTAAAAAGGTCCACTAGCAGAAACTTTTAAAAAATACAAAAGAGTTCATAACCCAAATATTATTCCTATGTTTTAATCAGAACATTTCTTAATTACTATCAGATTATCTTTTGTTCTTAATAAGAGGTCATTGTTATTTGTTCCTCAAGTTTATCAATACATTTTATCCTCTGATCTAGTCTCCCTCTCTACTAGATAATGCTATGGTCCTATAACACTATATCTTGTACTGTAGGTAGACTTCAGACAACGTTGAAACGTAAATACTTATGAGAAATTATCCTAATGTTTATACAAAATTATAAACTTATCATGATTAAGTAATTTAGGAAAGTAAAATTAAATATTCATTTACCATGGTTAAATGAGAAAGATATATATGCAAATACCTTGCATGCATCTACTAATTTGAAAAAATAATATGCGAGTAATTAAGTTTTTACTACCAGTAAGAGGGTAATTTAAGTTTTATGCACATGACCGAGTAAGATATACCTATACAACAATGTTACTTATGTAAGAAAATTCTAGGAAAATCTCTATCCAATAATAAAAAGCTAACCTTATAATTATAATTTGTTAAACCGTATTGATTACACAACAATTCGTGCATATCAATTAAATCCTTATAAATAAATGCTTATATATTTGTACATACATTCCTTGTAGCGTTTACCAGTTGACCAGAAGAGAAGTTCAAATTCCTATGTTGGTGAAAGAAATAACACAAATATTCTTCTTGAAACCCCACACGGCGTACGAATACATGTAATTGACCAAATTACATCCATTAGAAGAAGAAGTAGCAGCAGCAACAACAGAAGAAATTGTTCAAAACATCAAGAAATCAAAAGATTAAAGAAAGAATGGAAAGGGGTGAAGAAAGGGAGCTAACCAACTATGACTTACAAGTATCTTTCTCAGCACCTCCTTCTCATGCCAATAATATCCATGATTTGGGGTTTGTACACTTTGCAGATCATAACCAGATGATGAGCTTCTTAGCTCCTCCTTCCTCACACTCACAACTGTCTTCTCAACTACCTCAGCCTCTACAAGCTGCTGCCACCACCACCGTCACGCCTCCCACCACCACCACAAACGCCACCGTTGCAGCCGCCTCAAATAACATTAGCAGTGCCCTAGGGTTTAACCACAACGAACTTGTCAATAGACCTTCTTGGAATAACAATCAGGTAATTATTCGGTTTTACAGACTTCTTCTCGTCTCATTTGCTTAAGTTTTGATGAACAAAAGTTACGAGATGTTTGTAACAAATACCAGATGTTTGTGTTGGTGGAAGATAGTAAGTATCTGGTTAGTCAAATGCGCGCAAATTGATCCAGTCAGTACTATCATACGAGACAAAGAATACAAGCTTCTTGTCTTTGTGATATAACACAGTCAAATATTGCGATATCTCTTTTAGGGTTTCTCTATTTTATTCTTAATTTACCTTTTGCTCATCTCTTTTAATTTGTTGATTAATTAATGGCGTCTATTCTATGGATCAACCTTACATAGGTGGAAACACTAGATCCCAAGATTGTTAATGACGAAAATTGCAGCGGTAATGCCAGCGAGGGTAACAATTCATGGTATTTCTCTCTCTATCTCTCTGAGCTATTTCCAAAATGACAGTAAAATGTTCTAATACTCTTTCACCAATCGGCATACATACAAATTTTCATTTGCAAAAAGAGCTACTTTATGCTTATATATTCATTCCATCTGAATCTAAAGGAATGGTTGGAGCCTTGAACGGTAGATATCTCTTAATTAATAACGTTGAAGGTTGTTGCGGAATGGTAAAAATTTCTTCACCCTTAATCTGATGTCATGGGTTTGAGTTCTCATAACGAAGTTCTTTTTCGGTGGCGATGGGTTTTCAACGGTGCACGCGTATTCAAATTAGATCAGTAGGTTGAGAAAAAAGCACTCTTTGCTCCTCTATTTTCAACCCCACTATTTATTACCCTAGAGAAGTTTCTTCATGCTTTAGATTAGAATCTGCGAAGATCTAGGCATTCAGGCAGACATATAATTTCTTGTAACGTTTCTAGCTAGGCTCTTTAATTCTATTCAACATGTGAATAAATACTGTGGGTTTGTACTATGTGGTGGACGGTGTAGTGCAATTTGAGAAGGACAAAGTGTTACATCCACTTAAATTATAATGCTCAACTATTTTTACCCACATGTGTCATCAGATTCAACACATATGATAAGACTTCATTTTTAATTTGCTACCAGAAGTATCTATATTATATAGTATAAGTATATATATTATTGTGAACTCAAGTGATTACTAACATTGAGGTCTCTAAAACGTGTAGGTGGAAGAATTCATCTTCAGACAAAGGAAAGGTGAAGATAAGGAGAAAGCTAAGAGAACCAAGGTTTTGTTTCCAAACAAGGAGTGATATTGATGTTCTTGATGATGGATATAAATGGAGAAAATATGGCCAAAAAGTTGTCAAGAACAGCCTTCATCCCAGGTACCTAGCTAATGATCTTAATTTGCCCTAATTACCAATTTTTTTGGGCTTAATTTAATCCCTTCTCCTAAACTTTGAAAAGAGCAACTACATTTAATTTTTCTCAACTTGGCATGAGTTGTCATTTCTCGAACGATGATTCAATTCGGACACTGAACCTAATATTTCATACTACCAAATTTCTTCAAGTTTAAATTAAAATAGAAACTGGGGAAAATGATGGTGTGCCTACATATAGTTTTGGGAAGTACAAGAAATGTATAAATTGGTATTATTACTTCTACTCTATATCCAGTAGTGGAAGAGAGTGTTGACACTAGGGATGGTCCATCTATATCTGTTGAGTTCTCCTCTAACCATTATTTCCTCTGCTTCCTTTTTATTGATTTGTATTTTTGTACTTTGGNATATATATATATATATATATATTATGGCCCAAACAAGGTTAGAGAGAAATTTGGTTATAGTTGGCTAACTAGCTTTAGGTATCAATTGCTATAGAACTAAATAAGTCTTTTGATGATGCATTTGTTCAAATATATCTCGTTCAATTCAAACCCTGTAAATGTGACAACGAAGTAATTTCAAAATGCTATTTATGGTTTTTGGGAGATCAGTCGAATTACAAAAGAAAGCTCTCTCTAGATTTTGACTATGTTGGTTGATTCGTGCCAAAATAGTATGACCAAATTGGAGTAATAGAATTGAAAATGCATATGTATACCCACTGCATATTTTAACATGCAATGCAACTTAATTAAACATTTCTAAAGAAATTAAATATCTTATTGAAAATTCTTGTTCAATACCTTTTATTAAGGTTAATAATGTACCGAATCAAATTACGGGAGAAATTTGTGTAGATCATGCTCGAAACCTGGCATGTAACCTATGAATGTTTTATATATATATATTTAACCCAAAAGTTTAAATTATTGATCTTCTGCTTGTACAATGCTTATCTACATACTTGTGTAACAATTGTTTCTTAAATTGATTTGGTTTCAACTAATTTCTGATCATTCGTTTTAAAATTAAAATGTTTTGCTTATCAGATACATATTTTTGTTACTGCAGGAGTTACTATAGATGTACACATAGTAATTGCCGAGTGAAGAAGAGAGTTGAAAGGCTTTCAGAAGATTGCCGTATGGTAATAACAACCTATGAAGGTAGACATAACCATTCTCCTTCTGATGATTCAAACTCTTCCGAACATGATTGTTTCACCTCTTTCTAGAAAAATCAGAGCTTATGTATATACTACCTCTTTCAAACCAAATATTATATTGTCACAAATCATTATATTGTCATGTTACTATGGTGGATTTTATTACTTTGTTACGTTAGATTCTTATTTCGTATTATGTATGGCTTAACAATATGTCAAGCCCATAATTTATATTTAATATATAGTGGACAATTTTTCCTGTTAATTTGATATCATATTAAAGTTAAAAACCTATAATTAAGTTGGTCCTCTCCCTATCTATGGTTATTTTGTTTCTCACCCGGTATCCGATACTCATATTGAGGCACGACTAAATCAGTGCCGCAAAGTCCCACATTGGGGTAAAACGCTCCCTAACAAAGGCAACTTCATACTCAGAGCTCGAACCCCAAATCTCTGATTAAGAATGAAGGAGTACTTAGCCCTCCACTATAACCCTAGTTGCTACCAATTTATGGTTACTTCCTCCGTACACATTCGCATTACTAAAGTCGCAGAAATGTAAGATAGCTAGGCCAAGGGGAGAAATCAAATTTATCAACAGGGTTGCTTGTTCTCCCCTACTGCAATAATGTCTCCACATTAGGTACATATTATGACGATTTTATGTGAGATTATTATCTTCAAGATCCGAGTATTAATATTTGATTCATACGTCTGTGGTTGAAGTAATTTTTACAGGTTAGTACACCCTCAATAGCAGCTTGATTGCTTAAATAAGTGACCATTCGCATTCAGTTTTCTAATTTGGTGGCGACAATTCCACAGGAAAAGCTGCATTTTTTAAATTATCTGATGTTTAACAGTAATATCTGCGACTTAAATACATAAAGAGTACTTTTATACTCCCTCTGCTCCAATTTATGTGAATCTGTTTGACTGGGCACGGAGTTTAAGAAAAAATGAAGATTTTTGGAATTTGTGGTCCTAAACAAGTCAAAGTGGGGCACAGAGTATTTGTATGGTTATAAAAGCTTTCTCATTAAGGGTAGAATTGGAAGTTTAAGCTTAATTGTTTCCAAATTTAGAAAGGAGTCATTCTTTTTGGAACGGATCAAAAAGGAAACAAGTTCATATAAACTGAAACGGAGGGAGTACTATAAAAGAAACATAGAGTTGAAGTAAGCGTCTAAAGAATTATGAAACCTTTTCCATCAGTTTTTCTTTTTCTTTTTAAGAAGCATAAGGATTTCTAATTAGGGCAACCATATTAACATTTGTTTTCGTTTTAGTGTTTTCCTAATGGTTTATTTTGTGACTTTTGGTCAGTTGAAGTTGAGCATACTACATCTAATGGAATGAACTATCGTATATATAATTGTCTTTTGGGTTAAATATCTTGCTGGTAAGTTAAAAAAAAGGGAAAACAAAAACATAACCAGTACCAAGAATATGAGCTCCTCTTAGGAGAAACAAAGGGCCAAGTGCACAAACAGCCTTTCATACGGATGCTATTAGTCGGTACTTATTTTACGGAAGAATTATTGAACTAAAAATCTTAATTTCAAGACTTTTTTGTCCTGAAAAATCGAAATTCATGACATATTGACTAATTCTTAAATAGCAGCCCTTTAGAGTATCTAGTTACCTGGTGCTATTTCTACCAAAAAATAATAATATTAGGATAGATACCTTAGACATCACGAAACATAGAAGTGATAGTCTAAAGTCAAAGTTCAAAAATGATTATGCAAATCTTAAGTAGTAAACTTCTTTGAATATGAGAGAAAGTTTAGTTTCAAAGTAACTGTACGGAAAAATAAGGATAAGTTGAGATGTCACAAATTGAGTGATTCTTGTATTGACCAGTAGAGGAGGTGTTGATTATTACTTGCAAAAGCATTATCTCAATCCCTTAATTAGATAAGAACTTGTTTTAGGAATTGGGAGTGTCACGAACCCTAAAACACGCCATCAATCTAAAAGCAGCACTTGAAAACTCGACCAATAAGATGATGCTGGTGTTACGTTGTAATTGTTGCTAAGTAGTTGAAGTGAACTGTTGAACTTTGTAACCACTAATGGATATGTGAGATTGAAATCTCTTTTTATTTTAACTAGATGTCTCGAATTCGATCCTTTGGAATGAATAATCATGTTCGATAGGGAGCATATTGGCACAAGTCCGATAACAAATGGTTAAACTAGAAAAAAAAGAAGAAAATGATGGCCAGTTCAAGTAATCCATAGAATTACCTACATCTCATGAATAGTATAGTATAAAACAACCAAAAAATAACCTTACCTTACGCTGCCAAGCCATGGAAGTTGGAACTATGGAAGAACCATGTCAGTTGGTTAGCGTTGTTGGAAAACGTGTCAGGCTAATGGAAGGAAAAAATATTTGAAAGAGAAAAGTAGTAAATTGCACAAGACAAGACAAGATTTACATGGTTCGGCAATTTTGCCTACTCCACGGCCGCACAAAGAATAACTCTTTATTAATTGAAGAGAGAAAGAAGAAGTTGAAGGATGATTTGTAAATAAAAATGCATACCTCTTTTATAGGCATTTGAATGCCCTGCCGATGTAAGCGCTTACATCATAGGAATGCCGAGGTAAGCGCTTACATTATACGAATGCCGATGTAAGCGCATACATCATAAGAATGCCGATGTAAACGCTTACATAATAAGTTCATCTCTTTTTAATTTTTCTTTCTTTTGTTTTGTCTACTTTTCTTTCTTTCACATACAACAACATGTTTAAAATTAAAAAAAAGATTTGCTATATTCTCTGGTGGCGCCTTCATGCTATCAATCTTGAAGGCTAACTGAGGCAGTGCACATCCTTAGTTTGTCAACATCGATAACTTTGGTCAACATGTCTGAAGGGTTTTTTGATCCTGGTATCTTCTGCTGGGAAAAAGTTTCTTCACTTATCAACTCTCGGATATGATGATACCTCAACTGGATATGCTTCGATCTTGCATGAAACACTGGATTCTTGGCAAGATGAATTGCACTCTAGCTATCGCTGAAAAGCTCATAATTGTTCTGCTCTTTACCTAGCTCTTTAAGTAAATTCTTGAGCCAAATCATCTCTTTTCCAGCTTCTGATATTGCCATTGTACTCTGCTTCAGTGGTAGATAGAGCAACACTTTTTCTGAAGTCTGGACATCCAGCTAACAACAGTACCACCCTAGGTGAACACGTAGCCTGTGGTACTTTTTCGACTATCCAGATCGCCGCCTAAATTTCCATCAGCAAAACCTTGTAAGATAATATTGCTCCTTTTAAAACAAAGTGCTATACCTGAGGTGCCTTTGAGATATCGCAATATCCATTTTATACCTTCCCAATGCTCATTTCCTGGATTTGACATGTATCTACTGACAACTCCAACTGCATGGCTATGTCAGGTCTAGTGCAAACCATAGCATACATCAAACTTCCTACTGCTGAAGCATATGGAACTTTGGACATGTACTTCCTTTCTTCATCTGTCTTAGGTGATTGGTCCTTCAACAGATTAAGATGGTTTCCGAGTGGAGTGCTTCTGGTCTTTGCATCATAAAGACTGAACCTGCTTAGTACCTTCTGTATGTACATTTCTTGAGATAATTTTAAGGTTCCTTCAGACCTGTATATGCTAATCCTCATCCCAAGCATTTGCTTAGCTGGTCCTAAGTCTTTCATTTCAAACTCCTCTGCTAGTTATTGCTTAACCCTGTTGATCTCATTTATGCTAGATCCTGCAATTAGCATATCATCAACGTTGTTATCAACGTACAACAGTAAAATGATATAGGATTTATCAAGATTTTTGATATAACAACAATGGTCCATCTCACATCGTGTGAAACCATTATTATGCATGAATCCATCAAATTTCTTGTACCATTGTCGGAGTGCTTGTTTTAAACAATATAAACTCTTCTGCAACTTACACACAAGATTTTCTGTCACGACCCGAAATTCTCACCTTCGGACCGTGATGGTGCCTAACATTTCACTTGCTAGGCAAGCTAACGTTAGAATAATATTATCTATTTTTAAAATAATTTTAAAATTTATTAATAACAAAGAAATAAACGCGAAAGTAAGGTCTAAAATATAGTGATTAATCCATAAAAACAACGGGTCTAAATACTATCCCAGAATTGGTGTCACAAGTGCACAANAAGTGCACGAGCTTCTAGAATAAATACAAATAAAGGTCTGAATAAAATAAAGCTGTCTGAAAACAAACACACAGCTAAAATAAAGTAGACGGGGACTTCAGAACTGCGAACGCCGTGCAGTTATACCTCAAGTATCCTCTGAGTAGCTGAAATCCGAGCAAGTCTATGGTACGCCGCTGGGACTAACTCCAAAATCTGCACAAGAAGTGCAGAGTGTAGTATCAGTACAACCGACC